AATTATAAGACTTTAAAAAATTCAAAAATCAAATAAAAACTATACTATATTCAATGTCATGCTTGTGTATTTTCTAGAATATATTTCATATGAAATTATTAAAATAAATATTACATTTGAACCATACACCATTGCATTCATTTGTATGTATTTACTTGTTCACATTTTATATGTAAAGAATGATCAGCATTCATGGTGTCAGATTTGAGCACTTGTTTGCTCGGTACTTCACATTTTCATTTCCTAAATGCACTCTAAGTAAAGACACAAGAAGAGACAAAACCATCTGACAGTTACACTTTGTGGTGATGAGAAAGAGTGTTTGTATTGATCCATTCTGACTATCATGTGCTCGTAAACCTTAAGGGAGTGTTACAGCCACCTGAAGCAACTGTTACTAAGGAAAGCATTCAACACAACTTATGGAGGATATTGGTCACAAATTAGTTCTTCAGCCATGCCACGAAGAAGTTTACGGCAACAACAGGCGGGATACTATGGAGAAGATGGGACTCCCGCTGTCTCCTACAAGGAGCCTTTGGTCAGGTAAGTTGCTGTAGTGTTTGTTTTCACATGTAGGGTCATTACATGAAAAATCAATCAGGGCCTCCTCAGAATCAGATGGTTTTCTTATGTACAATTACTGTAGTATATTTAATGAAACTGTCATGACCTCCCCAGCCTCGGCCCCAGCCCTTGCCTGTCTCCCTCTTTTTCTCCCTCTCTTCTCCCTGCTGTCTGCCTCTCCCTCTCTGCCCCTCTCCCTCTCTGCCCCTGTGCATCTTGCCTCTAATCAGGACAATCACCCTCAGCTGCAACTTCAGACTCACCTGCACACTATCACCACTGCTCCTATAAAGATTCGGTTCATTCCACCACAAGCCGCCGGATCATAGACATTACATTTGCATGTTTCTGCCAGTCTCCACTTCGCCTCTCCCTGGATTCCCCTGAGCCTGTCTGCCCCCTCTGTTTTCCCCCCTTTGTGAGTATTCCTGCTTGTCTGAGTTTTCCTGTTTTTTTTGTAACTTAGAATCCGTTAGGTTTCCCCCTCTGTTCTTAGTCGGAGTATTCTCTGGTTTTGTAGTTTCGTCCTTGTTTGAATTCTGTTTGTTTCGTTCTGTTTCCCACTCTGTTTAGTCTGCGCCCTTGTATTAGTTTTCAGTTTTGTTTCTGCCTTATTAAAATCCTTTTGCACTGAACCTGCCTGTCAGCCTGATTGCCCCTTGTGACAGAAATTATGTGAAGTTCTACCTTCATTCATATTTTCCAAGTTACAGGCCCTACAAGTACACAGGGTGGGTTCAAATGTCATGCTATTTAATTCACCGATAATTTCATGCATTTTTCATCCTCATGTAATTTCTGTTGTGTTTTGCAGGGTCTTCAGGAAAAGGAGGCGCCCTCATTGCGATCGCCACAACTTTCCTGTTGCCAATCAGGATGTCTCACAAAAAGTCAACAGTGAAACAGCTGCTGACTTTTTTAAGGGGAGCTCTAAACGCCGTGTTTATTGCTCCATATTTCCAAAACTGAGACATGTTCTGATTGCCATCAGCTGCTCTCTCCTCCTGCTACCTTTGTATTTTGGTGAGTGACTTCAACATTATTTTAAATCATGTTTTAGACTAGCCTCTGGTTCAGATTCCTTGCTTAGAAAGAAGCATATTTCTGACGTTTTGTGTGTTTTGTCTCTCAGTGGTAGCAGATTTAAAGCTGCAGTTAAAAGATGCGCAGCAGGAACTCTGGTCCTTCAGGAAAAGGATGGACATGTTTGCTCCCCTGGCAGAAACAGTCCCAAACTTTGCCCTAGCCTCACAAGGTTGGTAATCATCACAGTCTTCATCTGTGTCATTATGATTCATGTTTGCGTTTTATGAGCAGAACTTGTTGATTTCTAACGTGTGTCCCTTTGATTGTTTGAGCAGGAGCCAGAATTCAACACGATTTGTCCTCCGTAACATTTTGGCCCCCACCAGATGCAAGGCTAATAACGAGGATTGTAGACCCAAAATCGAAGCAAAGAGTGATTCAGGTACAGATCACACACACACACTTAATGTTGTAATTCCATTTTAATGTCTTGTGGTGTTAAATATGAAACAACATGGACATGGAAACTGTTGTTCAACTGTGGAGGCTAAGATAGATCCAGAATCCAAAAGACAGCATTTTCAACCACGTGAGGCTGCAGATTGAGAACAACTGGGGAAACGCTGACCACACCTGTCTGTACAGTTTTAGGGTACATGATAAACTTGGAACCAGTTACCATGTTTAAGAGAACTTTAATATCTGCAAGGGTTCCAAAGTGAGTATAACCAGGACCCTACCGGTCGAGGCAGACGGCCGTACACTCTGAGCCTGTTACTGTTGGAGGTTTTCCCCCTGTTGTTAAAAGGGTTTTCTCCTCCCCACTGCCATCAAAAGCTGCTCAGAGTTTTATTGTCTGAAGTAAGTTTAAACATGTAGCCTTAAGCGATGTACACTGAGTTGAAAAAGAAAAGACAGAATAATTAGATATTTAATATTTCTATTACAATTATAAGACTCTAAAATATTTAAATCAAACAAATAAAAACTATACTATATTAAAGGTCATGCTTGTCTATTTTCTAGAATAGATTTCATGTGAAATTATTAAAATAAATATATTACATTTGAACCATACACCATTGCATTAATTTGTATGTATTTAATTGTTCACATTTTAAGAATGATCAGCATTCATGGTGTCAGATTTGAGCACTTGTTTGCTCGGTACTTCACATTTTCATTTCCTAAATGCACTCTAAGTAAAGAGACAAAACCATCTGACAGTTACACTTTGTGGTGATGAGAGTGTTTGTATTGATCCATTCTGACTATCATGTGCTCTTAAACCTAAAGGGAGTGTTACAGCCACCTGAACAGTGTTACCTGATTCATTGTTAAAAAGCGAGAGAAATGAAGGATTTTACACAGAATCAGAAATTGTAGTTGTCTAGTGTTTTGTGTGACATAAAATGAGGCCTGTTAACTTGTACTGTATATTAACAAACAAAACGCGTCAAAACCTTTTGTCATGGTGGAATAAACAGTATTCGGTATTCAGCTGTAGCAGGTGCAGGATGACTGGAATCTGCAGTATGTCCACTAGATCAGGGGTTCTCAACTGGTCTCACCCTGGGAAACACATTTTCCCATGGTCATTAACCACTACTCGAAAGGTTTTGGCCTAATCAGGCCATTTGTTGAAGTTAATGAGACAGTTGGGCATGTGCTCTACTCTTGATTAGAATTTCAAAGTCTGGGCTGATGGTAGACAGAGCTGCTCTCATTTGGAGATCAAAATTGATATACCGATTGCAGCACAGCGAATGAATAGTCGGCTATTCGTGTCCAGCCCAGTACGAAAATCCACATTTTAAATCCTCCTGGTCATATTTGCCATCTTGCATCCCAACATCAACACAAACTTAAAATCAGGCGAACTATGGTTACCATGCCTGTCAAAATAAAACTTTTTTTTCAAAATAAAAAAAACAAGTCCAACCTGAGACATTATGTTGGTAACGAATGTGATGTACATTCTGCATGCACGTCTGCGCAACCTGTAAACGCGAAGCTGCTGTTTTTAGGTACCACAATGATGTTGACAGACTTTGCACTTAGAACCTGACAACTGGTTTAAAGCTTAAAGTATCAAATACCTGAACACTTTGTTTTGTTTTTCTTACAATTACTGCTTTTGTTGTCAAAAGATTATTTCGTGTTGTCACAAAGATTTCCATTGTGACTTGCTACATAAGCAATATCCGCCTGGCTGATACAAAAGTGCCAGTCAGATGGATTTTGCTCATGTGTATTTTGTAACATGAATTGTTTACTACGGTGGCAAATAGTGTCCCTGGACATGAAACAATAGATAAAATTTCGTGACTATTTCACGAATTCCCATGAGACTGGGTTGGCTTTTCCCTCAGCTACGTGGAAGCAAATCAGGCTCAACTGATTCTAAATTTTAAAAGCTGTTGAATTTCTCATGTTAAAGTTTGTTGCCATCAAAACTGAATTATTTTGTCTGAATTTAACCATAACAAAAACAGTACTTTTTTCTGTTAAGTTTCACAAATGAATAAAATTGCTTGCTAAATATGTGTTTACTCTTTCTTCTGTCTCAGCATCAAGTCTTTCCCACTTTCCAGAGACGTTTTTTTTTTTAAATACATTTTGGCAGTGATTAGACTGACTGATTCGTTTCACGGCCAGGCATTACAACAGAGTCAAGTATGGGAAACAAGCACAAATGGAAGTGGAAAGTCATTTTTCAAAAATAAAACACCCTGCAGACTGTGCTGGAAAAAAAAAAACAATAACACTTATTTTTCTTTCTATGCGGCCCGGTACCAAATGACCCAAGGCCAGGTACCAGTCCGCGGCCCGGTGTTTAGGGACCGCTGGTGTAAAGAATCGGTAACCTAGCAAACCAAATTAGGCTATGTAACACTTTGTTTATTATGTGTGTTTTCTGCTCTGGTTAATGTTTTGGTTTGTTTCATTGCAAATTAATCTTGTTATTGAAAAGTTTTGAACTCTGTATTCAAAGTCAATACAACAGTGAGCGAACAGCTTGAAATGAACTGCCCTCGAGGGCTCTGTTTAAAGCTGACCATTCAAGATTCAAGGCTTTTATTTTTCACACACACACACCATTATAAAGAGTATAGCACGCAGTGAAATGCATTATGCACCTGTTCCAGACCGAAACAATAATAGAGAAGAATTAGAAAAGAATTAAACATACAGGAGATAGAAATGAGCAGAATGAATAAATCAAAGTGTCAGTTCAACCATGGTATAATAACAGGAGTTATTGTGCAGTGATTGTGATAAATGCAGCTCATTTTCAATTGTTGCTTGTTTACAACCCAGTCTCACGGCAATCTGTAAAATAGTCACGAAATTTAATGTATTGTTTCGTGTCCTGGGACACGATTTGCCCAAACTTTTTCGTGTTCCCCAGCACGAATTTCAAACCAATGCATTTCAACTGGAATTATCTTTCGTGTCTGGGACACGTTTTTTCCCTATCAGACAGCACATATACTGTGATGTTTTTGTCGTTCTTTTCTTCCAACATTCAGCCATTAACCAGTTTTACTGTTATGACCCATCCACACCAATAACTATAGAGATCACTATAAAGATGTGAGTGCACACACTGACCAGCGTTAACATTTTGTAAACACCGGTGCTGAGCAGCTACAATGTGCTCCAGCTGCTATCAGCTCCGTATTCATTAATAGAAAATACAAGAAACATATCCAGGCAGAGAGAAGCTGTCCTGAGATCACTCTGAAAGTGATCCCAATGACATCGTTCATAGCAATTATTGTTTATTTGTGATGAAATATAAGTGCTTTTACTGTGTTTGGGCTACATGCTCGACTGTTGTAACTGAGAGACCAGCGGTGGGGATTATATCTGTAGCTTTGTGCAGCTTTTAGCTAGCTCGTTGAGGCTGGCTACATTAGCAACTAGCCTATCCTAGCCAGCTGCGGCTGCTTCTTCTTCTTCTATTGATTTGACGGTTGGCATCCAACGTTCAGGTGCATTCCTGCCACCTACTGTACACATAGATATGTATAATAAAGGCTTTATTATACATATCTATGACTGTACACACAAAAACATGACAGATCCTGTAGGGCGGCTCTCTTCCGTGTCTACGGGGAGGCC